TTGTGCCAAAGGAACCGTGTCTGTGAATGGCATTTTGGGGAAGCTCTTCTCCCACCCCTAAATAAGCAACCTCCCCTCCCCCTTCCTCCATGACCTGATACTTGAATGGGTGACGTGAACCCAGGTGAAATACCATACCTGTTTTAAAAGGGGTGATATCCAGGCACGTGGCTGGAAGTGCCGGGCGACCTTGTGGGAGTCACTGGGTGTTTTGTAAGGATGGGCAGCACAGGTGGATGCCCGCCCCTTCTGTTCACTGAGTCAGTGGCATCCTAGCCCCGGCTGCTCGCCAAATCGACACCGTAGCCTGTGTTGAAGGAAAACTCTGTTCGATTTACACTGTTCGATTTACACTGGGCTCTCATCCAGGGGAGGGAGGCAGACGCAGGTGCTGGCGTTCTGCACACGGAGTGGGTATCGCCGTTCCGCTAGGAGCAGGTGACTGCAGCCTTGGCCTTGGGAGTCACACAGGCAGGCACTGCTCTCACTCCCAGGAGGAGCCCTGGCGCCTGGCGCTGGGAGTTAGGTAGTGGGCTACTAACCACAAAGTCGGCCAGGGCTTCAAACCCACCAGCCTTCCTCCCCAGGGCCAAGATGAGACCGTGCGCTCCCCTGCAGAGGAGCCTGGTGGCATAGTGGGTTACACACTGGGCTGCCCATCACAAGGCCAGCAGTTCAAAACCACCAGCCGCTGTGCTTGAGAAAGATGGGGTCCAAGAGTTTCCTTTGGACATCGAGGCATAGGAAGGCCAGGTGGAGAGCAGTGTGGGGGAAGCGAGGACTTTGAAGAGCATGAAATGAAGCAGAGATCCCTGGGTGGTGCACACGGTTCGTGCTTGACTGCTAACCTAAAGTTTGGCTGTTTGAACCCACCCAGGGGTTGCGGTAGACGGAGGGCCTGGCCGTCTACATCCGTGAAGTACATCCAAGGAAACCCTCTGAAGCAGTGTCACTCTATAACCCGGCCACCAGGAGTCAGAGTTGACTGGACGGCAGTGGGTTTTGTTCTCGATCGTGAAGGATGTGGGTGTGTGGAGAAGGAAAAGTCCTCAGACCATAACTTCTGAAGTCTTAAATATTAGACTTTGTTCTGCAGATGCTAAGAAGCCGTTAGAGTTTTGGAGTGGAGGTAAGGTGGGCATGGTTGGGGTGCAGGGAGAGGCTGGCCTTGTGGAGACTGATGTAGCAGCAGTCTGGAAATTAGGGAAATTGAGCTTGAACTGGGTGGACGGCCAGCAAAAGGGGTGGGAAGATATCATGATGCCATTGATCTTAATGGCATTTTAAAGCCCACGGGGTCAGCGGCTGAAGGGGGAGAAGCTGCCTTGCTTAAAAGTAAGAAACAGTGAAGCCAGCCAGCCTGAGCTGAACCCTACAACGTCAAGGTGAACTATTGAAGCGTCAGGAATGAAGACTGGGAGAAAAATTACCCTGGGCACAGAAGGAGAGCGTGTCCTTCATTCTGTAGGCTCATATTCTCCATGGCACGGGACAAGAGGAACCCCAGGACTAAGGGAACACATAGGTCAAGTGCAGCCTCTTAGGGGAGGAGCTTTTCAGCGGTCGATTTCTGGCAGGGGAGTAGGGCCAAGAACCCCCAGGACTGCTGGTGGGTGGGTGCTCTGAGGCAGACTGGGGGTCACAGAGGCAGTGGGGGTCTTCTCCTGGGGATGCAGTTTTGATGTTTGTTTCTGCTGACTCCCGTTCCCGTGAGAAAGTGCTCTCTCTGTTAGTACAGTGTAGAGGCTGAGTTAAGCTGGACTGGACTGACATCTAGAGGCCAGGACTTGTCAGCATCGCCGAGCTCATCTTTCTGAGTGCTAATCAAGGGCATAAGCAGCCTGTTGTGCAGTAAGAAACACATGTCCGTGCTTAGTAAAGATGAGCCATGCCAGCTCTGACGATCATGCTCGCTCTCCTGTGAGTACAATGGACCTACGTAACTAACGTGGCCCCATTGCTGTTTCTTACAGTGAACATTGGCCGGCGATGACCAAGGACTCTTTAAGATGTCTGTGGCCACATTGTGGTACTTTTGACCTAGGTAAACTCACATTTTTTTTTCCCACAGAAAATTATACGCTAAGGGCTCCTAATGTTAAGCAGTTCCTCAGGAAGGCATTTCATGTTTAATATTTTAAGGCTTCCAAAAAAAACAAGAAGCAGGCTAGCCTCCTAAGAGGATACCATCACCGAGCCAACTGACCAGGTGGAGGAATCAGGATGCCAGGACTCTGTGAACATCTAAATTGTTGACTCTCTAAAACTGCTGATTGAGCCCCACTGTCCCCTGGTATTGGTCTCTTTCTTTTCAGCCTGTCTGCTGGGCATCCTGGGACAGCTGTGCTAGGGTGGGCTGCCCTGACCTCTAGATGCCAACTGTTGTCAGTACAG